AATTTCCTCGGAACGTGGCGTGGGTACATCGCTACATTCAGGGAACATTGTCTGAGGACTATTTACAAAGATTTCACAATTACGGCTTCCTTAGGCTACAGCCCCAATGAGCCGAAATACATATATGGATAAAGCTCCTCACAGGGCGATCTTTTTGAATCGAAACAGATTTTTGTTAGGCACCAGCACAAGCGAGCCGTTTTCCCAGCGCACCAGCCTGAGCGTACTAACGACAGTTTACTTCGAAGTTCTACCTACACATACCCGATTACTCACTTCGAGCTTCAGAACAGACACGCATGGCATCCCACATTCAACTGGGAAATGCCTTTTTCAAAGTTTTAAACCCCAAATACTTAAAATCTGGTCCATTCAAAACTGCCACTCTACATACGCAGTGAGTGCCAAGTTCATTACCAAGTTTTGAAAGCCACTGCTTTTCTCCTACACCTTATATCACATTCTTCGGTAGACTCATATAAGATAAAACTGATCCATTATGCTAAGTTTCCAGAAACTACACTTAATTGGCATATTTTTTGCACAAAGTGGCATATAGTGGATGGGTTTCGAACCACAGGTTGCGTGAGAGCTCCGCAAAGTTGGCTTCCCCTGCGAACATTCTAGGAATGTTCGCAAGCGAATGTTCCAAGAATGTTAATTGCGCATACGAATGTTCGAAAGCGACCATTCCGAGAACATTGTACATACGAATGTTCGAAAGCGGCCATTCCGAGAACATTGTACATACGAATGTTCGCCAACGAACGTTCCTAGGATGTTGAGTAGCTTACCTTGTAGGGAATGTTCGCATATGAACGTTCCTAGAACGCTCCAAATGGTGTTTTAGCGTTCCTTCACCATTCAGAACTGCCAGGGAATGTTAGCACAACATTGGGTGCTACTTTGGGACACTCCCTCCACACGCTAGCCCCTCAGTATTGCAATCTGGTTGGTAGTAATTCAGGATTTTAGGAGTTCAGCTTTCAATTGTCTAGTAATTGTTTTTCTTCTGTGTATTCGCTAGGTATTTTTGCATTTTGCCGCCCGCGCACCGACTGGGTAAAGCCGACCTTTATTGCCACGTTTCGGTACTTCTGAACCCCATTATATTACTTATCTTTCTATTTAAATCATCGTTTTAATTAAACTCCCCTTGTTTAAAAACTTGTGTTACGTCCTTTATTGGCAAGACCTCACCGCGGTATAGGCCGGTCGTCTGGTGAGCAGATCTTTTCTGTTTATAGTAAACCACAAACCTGTGCGCGTGTGACGGCTTACGGCATTCGGTGGCGGCGCTGGCTGATTCTCACAAAGAGCGTTCTAATTGCAAATAAACATCTGCAGATTTTTGCACTCTATGGGACCCTCATAGAATTTCATAAAAATATTCCCTAGATCGATAACTCTCTTGCCACCCTCGACCCAGTCACACATCATGACTTTTCTGATCGCGGATGAGACGTCGAAAGAGATCCTGTTGGAGCAAATGGAGCAGTGCCCGAGCGCACACTTGGCTGCTGCCTCCGACACTAGCGAGCTTTAGTAGACCGTCTTTCCCCCTCCGCAACCCGGAACTGTACAGCCAAGGCCACCGGCGCGCAGGCGCAGTGGCAGTTTTTTCGTAGCGGAGGGGGAAACACGGTCTACTAAAACTTCCCATTGAACCGCTTACGCTACCTAGATCCCCTCTAACTCAACCTTGATTTTCACTCATTCGCCATTGTTTTTCCGAGATATAACCTGTCATCGTTCCGCCCTAGACACGCCCGCTATCGGTCGGGGCAGAAGCTTCCGCAATGTCGCTCGTTCCAAGCGATGCCTAGAGAAATGAATCAGACTATTTTGTCAGCAAGCTTCCGAGCAGTGCCCAGAAATACGAATCAGATTATTTTGTCAGCCAGGTACAAATATTAAAGTACTAACTTGAAATGATAGCACAATGAACATCTAACCAACCAAGTATAACACCCTAATAAGGATCGTACGCGCATCAGCGTTGTTTTCATTGGCAATATCAGCCACATCAGCGATGAAAACAAGTTCACGTGTTATTTTTAGAGTGATTGATGGTGCCTAGGCATTAATATGACCAAATACGGATACTGTGGCATGCGTCGCTCGTGTCAAGGCAGAAACGCCCCAGCGGTAATTGATGCGACACATTTCTTTTTTATTTTAAAACAAAATAATGCAACATGTCTTTGCAGATTTGTAATTACCGGTCATCAAGGGCCATCGGGTAAAATTTAAAGAAAATTCAGAATGGTTATTCTTTTCAATTGCCGCACAAAAATCGCAAAATTTCGACTTTTTCGATTTTGACGAAATTTCCGGGTGCAATGCAGAAAACATTTTCAACAGTATAGCGCTAATTAATTTGTTAAAAGTTCACAAAGTATGAAACATTCGACAAAAAAAAAGTTTCAGCTTTAGAATATAAATTTAAAGCAACTTTAAAATTCGCCGAAAAATGCCTCATTATGCAAGATTTGCTCCAGAAGCCAAGTTTGACATTTTATTTCGCTTGCAATATATGTTCATATAATATAAATTTAACTAATTTTGGCAGAAAGGTATGTGTGCATTAAACGTAAAAAATGTGACGATGGCGAAAGATGCATCCTTTATTCCTACGGCCTTCAAAATTGCGTCATCGCACAGTTGGGAAAATCGTCTTTTCCAACTCCTCTCGAATGCGATTTGTTTCACGAATACAATGAAGTACCTTGCAAAAGTAAGGTCTGTCCCGTTGTGTGGACAGGTTTTGCTACCTCATATAAAAATTTCATTGAAAACAAAAAATTGGCATAACACCACCATGACCGTTTTTACCTGAACACACCCTGGTACGGATGCTCGAGGTGGCGATCTGGATGACCCATCTTCCAAATGACATCACGTCGTCTTAAAAAAAACATTGGTGCATTTTGGCCTTAGCAGCCCTCGCGACATAAAACCCTAATCAGTCAATCAACCAATATTAAACACAGCGCAGGCATTTTGACATACAGAGATACTCACCAGATGAATTTCTTCATTACTGACAGTCTCTCAACACCAGGAAGTTTTCGTAGATGGTTTCCGGCGTCTCGGAACGCTCTCTGGAACCCGCTACGATACCCGGAACTCTACAGGCAAGGCCATCGGCGCGCAGGCGCAGTGGCGGCTTGTAGACCGAGTTTCCCCCTCCGCAACGAAGAAGTCGCTACTGCGCCTGCGCGCTGGTGGCCGTGGCTGTAGAGTTCCGGGTATCGTAGCGAGTTGCGGAGCGCATTGCGGGACGGCGAAAACAATAGGGAATTGTAGTAGACCGTTTCCGCAGCCCGCTAAGCATCCGGATAGCGCTCCGTAATCCGCCACAAGACCTTGAACTATGCAGACAAGGCTGGCAGCGCGCATGCGCAGCTGCGCCGTTTTCTTCGGGGATACCGTAGCGGAGGAGAAAAACGATCTACTACAATTCCCTAATCTTCTCCCTTTTGTTACGGAGGGCTTAGCGGAGGGGAAAACGCGGTCTACGCAAACTTCCTACAAGGGAGTTTGCGTAGCAGGTTACGCGTGAGCAAATCATTTTTTTCCGACGTGCCCAACTGACTGACTAACACAAGTTAATTAGCTAACTTCTTAATAGTATTTTTTGTGCGCAACAGCGTCTTTTTTTTTTTCAATTTGTTTTTGCACGAGTTAGCTGAAACACCCTGTATATTAGACACGTAAAATACATATTTACGAGATGTAGTCCCTCCTGTAGATAATTTGATCAAGATGTTCCCCTTGCCTTAATGCAGTGGATATAGTACCTTAGTCAACGCTCTGTCATTTCCTACCTACGACACGCCTTGGAAAGATTGTGAACGAGAAGCCACAGCGTTGCCGAAGGTAGGAAGCTCCTCCCTGCCCTTCTCACCTTGTCAGTGAATATATACAGGCAGCTCTATACGGGCCTAAACAAATTCGCAGTATTAAGTCAATAAACAGAGTGCCATGAACTTATACCACAAAGGTGTATTTGGGGATGCATAGATCATATCCCCCCTCAAAAAAAAAAAAAAAGAAAAAAAAAGAAGAAAAAATTGTTTTTCTATGTGCGGGAGGAGAACAGAGGCAATCCGTCGGGTTGACGCTGCTGCTACTCCCATATGGCACCCAATAGTAGTACAAACACTTGAAAGCTTCCTAGAGATTAACACCCTAACCGCTCATTCACAGTGGAAGCGGATCCGCGTTCGCAAAGCGGTTGTGAACGTGGTTGTATAAAGATCCAGTACAATGTCACGCGCACTTGATGACATCAAGTGCGCGTGCAATTGTACCGGATCTTTATACAACCGCGTTCGCAACCGCTTTGCGAACGCGGATCCGCTCCCAGTGTGAATGAGCGGTAAAGCAGGTTTCGAGCGCGTGTGGTGCGAGATGCCAGAAGAAGCGTTAACCCGGCGGTTTGCTTGTTTTTCTCGCATAGAAAAACAAACAAGATTTTCTTTTCTTGCCTTCCCTCCCCCCCCCCCCCCCCCCTCTCTCTCTCTCTCTCTCCCCCCCCCCCCCCCCCCCCCGTAACCTACGCTTACAAAATTTGAGTGCGACCAATGCACCACTAAAACACCTTGGTGAAAAGTTTACCAATGGCTAGCTTGTTTACAATAGGGCTTTAGAAGACCCTGTAGACGACTCAAAACAAAATGAAAATAGGTCGTCTTGTTGTATAAACCAACCTTCACAAAGGACTTGCCAGCCACTACCACAGTAGCATTTGGCACATGCTTCCCTTGCCAGCGAAATTAGTTCACCTGCATGCTGCTAAGCTGCAATTTTTGGACATTGTCACTGTCTACAGACAATTCCACTCTTTACATGAGGTCAAAGCTACAGCTACAGCTACAGCTACTAGAGTGACTGAATGTTAGATGCCAGCAGCCCTTTCGTGCAATGATGTTCTATGTGGGATTTCCTCGTTAACTTATTTCCTTGGCATCCAATTACCAGAAGTACAGTTCTGCTTCTGTGATGCAATTAAAAGAAATGTCCATGTTTATTGTACAAGTACAAAAACTCACACAATCTACATAAAAATTTCGGTAAATGAAACACAACTATAGTGCAACAACTCCAAGCAAAACCTTTGGTGAGCCGTTACCAGCACCAACGGTAATTGCGATTTGGGAAATGATTGGCGACTGTTTAGTGGTGACACTCCAGATTAAAATGATAAATGATGTGGTTCTCACTTTGATTCAACAAAGAATATTGAGCAAGTCCCAAGGGGCAAATAAAATGGGTCCATCAATCTGAGCCAATACAACTGCACTTAACAATCCAAATACTAACAAGGTTCTACTCTGTCCAAACTTGAAATTAAAATAAAGCGAGCTATCACTGTAGACAAAAATTTACAATCAATGACAGCTCATCAAATTTCTTTGCCAAAAAAGAGGCAACTGGCAACAGTATGCAAACCCAGAACTTGTCCTGTGACACAACACTTCACTGCTTCACAAAGTGCTCCTTAAATCAGCTTCCTGCAATGAAGTAGAATTCAGAGCTTGTACTTTTTGAGATGTTGGTCAACATGCTTGTGAGACTTTGGAAAGGCACAGTTGCTACATCATGACCATGCAATATTCACAGATGCAGAATGAAAACTGAATGGCATTCCCCAGGGTGTGGGAGATGCACATGCCTGCTGTGTGAATCAGAGCAGGAGAGCTACTTTAAGAAGTTGCCACACCCTCCATCACTACACTCGGCTCAGGAGAATTCTGCGAGTACAATAGTACTGCAGTAAAGTGGCCTTTCAATTTAAAAGCTTGTGGTATACACAACAAAAATTTGCCTGAAGAATTTAAGCTTACAGTATATGCTGTGGCAACCATTCAATTAATAAAAATCATGTGACAGGTGTTAATGTCTTCATGACCAGGGAAGAAACTGCACGTAAGACATTTACAGGTAATGCAATCATGGCAGAAAACATACGCTTTCATTAGGAAAGAGACCCAAATTGGCATTTATACCAACTGCACCTGAAATAACAATTGAAGAATTGAATATAAATAAAAGGACAACAGTTATGCCCCACATCACAAATTCTGTGGCACTGGCAAGGGTGCAAGAGTAAGAGCACAGCTTGCATGAACATTTATGAAACAAAAGTGGTTTTAAAAGCCATGTGCCTCCGCTTACTTCCTGCCAGAAGAATGACCAGCGTAAACCATGAGATGGAGTAGGGAATCCTTCAAATCTACCACTGGAATGGAAATGCTATTAACACTCCAAAACCAATCCACAGCATTGCCCCAGCACAACAATGACTCGCATAATTTTTCAGTTGCCCCTTCCATTTATGGCCAAATTAAAGATTTCTGGAAGCCTGAGGAAACTGATGCCCTCCATCAACAGAGTTACAATTAATCAGCGATCAATTCCCCCAGAGAAGCCAGCACCCGAGCAAATTTTGTGGCTCGACCCTGTGACAGCAGCTACCCTTGGCAGGACCCTTTATGCACAATCATGATCATGGTCTATGTACATTGGAGTCGCTTAAATAAGTCCCGCACACAAGAAGCCGGAATGGGGAACTTTGGATGGTAAAACAAAACAGCCTGGCGAGAAAACCGCTCATGAGGCAAGAACAATACCGTCGTCGAGTTCTGTTTTACATCTTTGCACAGGTGGACAACTCAGAGCGACGCTGCAGCTCTCGTTGTCACAATTCCATCTTCGGCCTATAGTACAGCTTCAAGGGGGGATCCTGAAAGAAGCGTGTGAAACAATTAAGAAAAAAGTGGTTTAAAGTTACGCCTGCAGCAAAGGGTGTAGGTAGTCTCTTCTACTGCAAGAGACACGTCCATACTACCGATTTAAGATTCCTCTCATATTTCAATGTTGAGACAAACTATCTTAGGAAAATTTCACAGATAATTGTTGAATAAAGAAATGTTAACAATAACTATAAAGTGCTACAATGGCATTTTGTTCTCTTTTTAGCAAAGAAAAAAGCATCTACAGAATTAGGCTGCCTGAAATCACTCATGGAAGACTACTCCATATTATCTATGTCAAAGAGAGCTCAAATTATTTTCCCAGCCAACCTTGCAAATCTGAAAACTTCTCTAACAATTCTCTGGCAACTCCAGGTGTTCTGTGTCATTAGGCATTCACTACAAGACTGTACCTGACCATAGGATACACTGAAAAATGCATACTACATTTAAAAGGCCACTGCTGTAAAAGCATACTACCGTAAAATACCGAGCAAGCGCCCACTAAAAATTGGAAGATAATCCCGAAAAAATATGGGATGGGCGCATGTGAGGTCATCAATTTTACATATATATGTACTGTGCATATTTTTTCAGATGTTTTAAATTTTGGGGGTGGGCGCTGAGTGTGGAATGGGCGTATGCACGGTGTTCTACGGCAAGTAGATGTTTGATTTATCCCAACCTGGTAAAACTCCCTCTTATCAAAACTGGATTAAGCCAGATGTCACCTTAAACTCGAAAATCACAATTCCTTGAGCTTTTTTGCTGAAATTATTTAGAGATATGAGAAACAAGGAGTAGTACAAATATAGCATACATAAACATATTGATCAATAAAATGAGCACCTGCACCTAGCAAACTGATATTGCAATTAAAGAACCACAAAAAGAAAAAAATGTTTTTTTTTAAACAGTCTGGTTGGGACACGCGTGTCAAGAAATAAATTTTATGTAAAAATTATTTCTTTTTTTAGAGCAATCTGACGCCACAAGACGTGATTTGGTCGGTAGTCACCTCCTTTCCATTTGTTTTCTCTAATTTTGGGCGCGTGGAGGAGAGGTGGATCGGCTTGGCCATCACGATGAGGTGGGGAGCGTGCATGGCCATCTTGATGAGGTGGAAAGGGTGTATGACCATTCTATAACATCATGGACTTTGCGCACAGAATTTGAAATAAATCTCGTGCTGTCAATATTGCTCTAAAACATTCTTTTTTGCGTAAAATTCATTTTTTGACATGCGTGTCCCAACCAGACAGTTTAAAAAACAAATTTTTTTCTTTTCAGTGGCTTTTTAAAGGTATTTTAGTGGTCACTTGTACCTTGTAAAATTTTTGGCATAGCTTTCTTTGTGTAAAAAGTATGAACAATCTCCCTAAAAATTTAAATGATAGGCCCAAATGCTGACACTCATCCCGAGTTTTCCAATCAAGAGATTGCATCACATGTCAATAAAAGCAGACATGCAGGCAGCACCTTGCTGCAAACTTTTATCTTTTTCTCCTTGTTCACCAAATTGGATAAATGAAGAAAAAGTAAAAATGCTTGTTATATTACTTCTTGTACACCCATTTAATTAAGCAGCCCTGTTGTATTCTACCAATAAATCCCTTCACTATTTCGTATGACTCCAAAACTCCAATAATAACGTAAAAATATTTTGTTTCAAAATGTTTCCTGCTTTTTTTTCTTTTTTTTTTCTTTTTATGGCTGGTACAATGCCAAGAGTCAAATGAGACCACATTATAGTACTGATGAGAGTAAAAAAACAGTACAAAAGCAAAGTTAGTAGTTTCTGCCTTTTTTTACGCCTGGAGATCAACTCAACAGATGCAGCAATCAATCGGGTACTGTCAAAGCTTGTTACTTGTTACACACTGCAAAACTAATTGGGTGGCACACATTGGACCCAAGCACATGAAAGAAGCCAGCCATTTTCTTAGAGCTAGGAAAATGTGCCAAGAATCCATATATTTTTGGGATTAGCGTACCTTACTAATCTCTGCCAGGAGCAGTCACAGTTAATAATGCCGCATCATCTACAAGTCACGAAGCCCATTCTTCCACTGGTGTGAAACAATATGCTTACCTTAAACCTCCACCTCGTGACGTAGACAAACTTGAGTGTGTGGTCCTTCCCAAGGATTTCTTGATTACAGAGGATCTCAACCTGCAACGAGCCGAGGCGTTGTCCTCCAACTGCTTCCAAGAATACACTGTGCGACCAGGTGAAAACTCAAGAGTGGGGCGGCTCACCTCCTTGTATTTTTCGAGGTTGTTGAAGAGCTTCTTTGCTATGAACTTCTTGAGGTGCGTGATTGTGGCCTGGGCGGAGCACCGGATGAACTTACGTCGCATCTGTTTCAGCTGCACGCTGTCTGATGATTCCAGCAGGATGTTGACTTGCTCGTCCGACCGGTGACAGTCTGCCTCGTCTTCTTTGGAGGATGACGCTTTAGACCCAGCATCTTTTTCACTGAGCATACCTGAGGGCAAGAAAGGAGACTGAATGCCTGAGCCAATGCCGACGCAATCATGGTAGGTGGGGACAGTGTTCGACATACCAGGAGTGTGGACTTTTGGACAAGGCAGGCCTTTCCGCCTGTAAAAATCTCGTTCCCGCTTGATCTCGTCTGCACACCATATACAGTTCGTCAGTGCCAGGTATAAAAAACTATATATTATGCCTCAAGGTTCAAAATGGAAAAGCGGACATGCCAAAGTCACATTGGACAGCGCCGGTGCACTTTCAACATTCTCTGCTGCAGGTCGACATTGTAAACAGAGTAACTCGTTCCAATCAAAGTTCAACTAACTGGGTTACAATTGAGCTAGAAAATGTGCACGGCAAAAGGCTTGAATGAAATGGCATTGCTAACGAAGTCAGCGGCACTGTCAGCTGTCTAGATCACAGAATACATGTAGGGTCCAATTCTTTACTCACTGTACTGCAAGTTTGGCACCAGCTTGTAAACTATATCTTGCATAGTCCTATCGTAGCTGCAAAATAAAAATGTGAAACCAATGAGATTTCAACATACAGAGCAAAGGCAAAAAGTGAATACGAGCAGCGGAACTTGTACCTGATATATTGCAACGGGTAACTTTGGTGGATCACAATTTCACAGGTAGGGCAGGTGTTATTGTCTTCCAAGTGCTTGACCAGACAGCTCTTGCAAACTGAAAAAAAAAAAAACAATGTCGCATACCCAGTTGCGAGCACTTCCTCCAGAGCACGGGACAACGCTGCACAGACAATTCCCGGCCCAGTACTCACATGTATGCAGGCACTCGGTCACTGTGGTGGCGTCAATTAAATACCCCTTGCATATCTTGCAGATGATATGGTTATTCAGAGTTTTCAATCGAATCCGCCTTTCCATCTGTACCAGACGAAGAACAAATATCGAATATATTACAATATGAAATCTCAATCGATCAGGCAACAAACCAATCGTAGGGTTCCGGGGGAGCGAAGGAAACGCAATATAAATCAATTACATCGGCAAGCATTCCGAAAATCCCAACTAGAAAACGAAAATCTGTGACGCCTCGTTCATTGGTGAACGCTGCATTTTCGTGACAACTTTTCAACTTTGTGCCTCTAGAGATCTTCGTACGCTAAATCTACCACCTAAGGACGCAAGAAGTGGTACGTCCCCCGAACGCCGCCCTCGCTCCCTTCACTGAACCGCAAAAACTGCATCAGCAAACCGAAGAGGGAGAGCTTGACGCCAGCTGGTCTTGCCAGTGTGTCGTCGGCAAAGTGCGACTAGACCTCATGCCTTCTGCAAAAAGGAATCCTTCCGAGCTTAACCGAGCTACCGTTCGAACTGTGTCACGGCGTCTCGCAGCAGGACAACGCGAAAACATCGAGCAGTGCACGTGCGCGCGTGACGCTGTCCGACATCCATAGGTAGGGGTGCAGACAACCAACCGTGCTCAGTGCGGTGCAGATAGCGCTGCACATTCCTAAACGTCGCATCGATTTCGACCGCACGGCTACAGGATCGCAGGGATTCTGAGATTAACATTAAAAGTTAGGCGGTCCAGTCCTTTCGCCTACCCGGTTGGCCGAACATCTCCAATCTGTCGCGCAACACTTTCTCCGATGTTCGGCGTTGCTAGTAGGGGACGATGTCAAGTTACACCGTGCATAGCAGTAGAGCGAACGTCCAACATGAGTTGGACTATACGTAGCAGAGAACAGTCAGGACGGAATTTTATTTCGGTAGCGCTCCCCGACCAGTCAGCATCCACACCGCCGACATAATCAATGGATCAATGAGGTTTTCCTTTACCTGTCTTTGTAAAAACTCCTGGGGAATGAAAACCATCAAGTACCACTTTCTTCTCAGCTTCCAACAGGTCACATATCAGAAGCCGCGTGCGTTGAAGAGATCCCGCTGTGCCGGAGGATCCGCTTTGTACGCAGTATCGGCGACTGCGGGAGTGAAGGAAAAGCATGTCACAGGGAATCCGAATTGCACCGAGCACGCGTACCAGCTCCACAATAACAACAGCGACGTGCGCACATTTTCAGTCCCTCGTCAAATTGCACTCGTTTAGTCACAATTACAATAAATGCCGTACCTGTACGGCAAAATAGCGAAGCCGGGATCTCAGGAGCCTCCGTGGGTCCAAATACTTTCGGTGAGTCCGTGCTCTGCTGCTCCCTCTCTTTTTCCGTATCTTTCGTACCACCGCACCGCCGCCTCCACCGCTCCGCCGTTGCCTCGCGCTGCTAGCGCTGCCGCTGCGTAGTCAGTCATATTTTTTGTTGTTGTTCATGATAAAATATTTTTTTAATATTTTGATTACAAAAAATAATCATTCAACTCAGTATTTATTTATAAATAGTAAACTGCAAAATCCTGCGCCTAGTAGTTCAATTAAGATCTTGAATAATCCGTTTGTGCGGCGAGTTTACATCGCACCGCCATTTGTAATAATCCGGAACCACATGAAGCAAATGTATGTTGGCTGGCGGCGTGTTTCTGGCTTGTCTCCGGAATTTTGCTAGGCCTTGCTGCACGCGTGGTGACAACTTGGGCGGCATGATTTTTCTCCGTTGAGGACAACCGTCAACAAAACCATGGTGAATATCGATTTTGACTTATAGACTTGAAAGAAAGCTGTTTGTTGCGAGTGAACAATGTGTTCAAGCGCCACGGGCTCTTTTGTGGTGCCATCCAAGCCGAGAATATGAGCGCTAGAGCTAGCCGCTGAGTATGAATCTACGGATTGAAGTACCTGTGTGCGGACTTGAAATGTCTTACAACGATCTTTACGATGATTTATATACTCTCTCTGTACCTTGTGGAATTAAATCTAAGGCAGCAAAGTTCATAAAGAAAACTTGAGGCATCTCTTTTTCGCGCCGGTGTCAGCCTCTGGCGCACGTTCGCGCAGTGCACTTATCGTCAAGCGGTAAACCGGGTCCATGATATCTATCGTACGAGCGAAATAGAGTAAATTGGGAAGATCTAGAAGGTAGACCGCGCCATTGCTGCGTTGTATCTCCTTCTCTTTGTCGTCTCAGTGAATGGTCCAACTAGCCGAAGTTTGCGATAACTGCATTGTACCCGTAGCGCATGAGGTTCGAAGCTCCTCCAACATGCGATTTTCGATTCTCGATGGAGCCTCGAGTTACCTCGAGAACAGGTTATGTTGGCAGATCACGCTTGAAGATCTGCGTTGCGGATGGCCCGGCGAAACGGCGCATCTGGAGGCTTGACGATTCCGAGCACGTGTGACGGAGCCAACGTCCTTGGTTCTCCTTTCGTTTTTGCAGTCGCAGCTGTACGTGCTCTTCGAGCACGCGGCGGGCTACGCGCTCTTCCGCGTCAAGGAGTTCGAAGAGGTCAGCATGGCGCTGCCCCAGGTGGAGAAGAGCGTCTTGGATTTGAACAAGTTCAAGTCCCTGGTGCACCTGATCGCCTTCTTCCCCTTCAGGACCGCCGTAAATGCGCTGGAGAACATGAACTGTATCACCGAGGGTAGGGTCTCTGTACTGCACTTCATTGACACATCCCTTCCAATCCGGTTTAACTCGTGACCTGAAGTACAGTAAAATCACATGATGTGATTTCATTGTATTTGTTAGTCTGGCTGCAAAGTGGTGGCTAGGACTCTGACATGATTGTTAATGGGGATGCACTCACTTGATCGAATGACGTTTTAGCAAACGCCCATGTTTCACTGAATGGCACTCTAGCGAATAGTCGGCTGCCACAAAGTGGCGTTTATGGGTGGGCCAAGTGGGTTCACATTTTTTAATGAGCTGCTGCAGACTGTCGCCACGAAGCGGCGTAAGCGCACTGTAGGGGGGTAAGGGGTGGGTTAAAACGCGCCCCCGTTATTCGCTAAGACGTCGATTCACTTAAATGTCGCTGTTCACTAGAACGTCATTCGCTCATGTGATATGGACCCTTGTTAATGTCCAGGATTTAAACATAGATCCCAATACTGAGGGGGGGACAGACTGAAACAGCAAACAGGGACAAGCGTTATTGCTTATACATACCTTGTTCGCGACGTCATATGGCACCGTACCAGCCGCCATTGCTCCGTACCACGCTCCTTTGCCCGTACATTCTGCAGCATACATTTCGTATCATCAAATTTGTTCTTGCCAATCCTTGCCGAGAACAAAAAATTCGATGGTGCGAAATTATGCTGCAGAAGGTGCGGGCACAGGAGCATGGTATGGAGCAAGGGCGGCTGATGTGACTTTAATGCAAGCTATGTATTGCCAGTTGGTAGCAAGAGCCTGCTATGGTTTCAATAGTGATAAAGTCAGTAAGGTACCATGGCTGATTAATTTATGTTGGGGTAAACTGCTCAAATAATCGCATCACATTGTGTTGGATGTGTTGCTCGGCAAGCTGCCGTAGCTCTGCATGTAGAAATGGACTTGTAGCGCCGTTAGTAAACTGGTGATACGTCACTCTTTGCATGTGTGACCTTTTTGCAACCCACATTAACTTTGTGGATACTTTAGTTACACATGATGGCACGCTAGGAAAGGTACAGGTTTTGCATCATGCTGCTGATGGAATGGCAAAGGCACATATGCACTCTCGTGGTGTAGCTGCCATTTGTGGGATTGATATGCAACCTTTTCATTATGTATGGGCTTGGCTACAGACAAAAGAGAACAACACTGCAAACCTGAAACTTGCACGGGGAACAGAAAAGCATTCAAACAAAACTGCGTGGGCCTTTTTTCATGAGCTTCAGCAGCGTTGCCATCTCTACATCAATATGTGCCTGACGAGAGAAAGGGTGACTAACCGCATAGGGACACATGCCACCCCGTGTCAGTCTGGCACGCACTGTGCAGTGTCGACTAGTTGCCTAAAACATCTGAAAACTAACAACCACCACCAGGAAACGGTTCAGTGTACTAGTGCTGAGCAAACAAAGGTGGACTGTCAGTCTCAACAATTGTATGGAGTGTCGCTGATGAGGTGCATGAAAAACGGCCCTTCGGGTTGCGCCCTTACAAACTGCAGTGGTATGTTCTTCCAATAAAGGGTTGAAACGTGCTGCCACTGACTGCCAACAAAATACGTCCTGGAAGCATTATGATATACAAGTAGTCATGTCATTGATGTCAGCTCTGTTGGATGAACTTTTTTGACATCTGCAGTGTTGCATAGCAGTGCTGGCATGTATTGTAAACTGCCAGTGCAGTAGCTGCTGTTGCTTTTTTTTTTTTTTGTCTCAAATGATTATTTTGAAGGGATGAGGTGCAGTGCACCATGTTCTCATTGGCGAACATTGTTGCAACTCATGTAGACCGGTATGCGCTAATAAGGGCTGTGCAGTGAAATTTGGTTGGACAGGTAGCACACTCCCATTGCAGTATTTTTCCAACCCTGGTATATATTTTTGCATTAATTTAAGCATCCGGGTGGCCTGCCGAGCCATGACATGGTGCTACATGTCATTCACTGCCAAGATGACAGGGCGGTGGAAGATATAAGCTCCTTGGACCAGTCTTATGTCAATCTTTTGCCCATACCTGTAGGCAGGGAATGGGGTAGGTGATGGAAGGCGGGCGGTTGACTGGTCTGGCGAGTGCGTTGCTTGCACCGCCTTGTCAGCTCATACTGGTGAAGGGAGTAGTGTGTGCAATTTTTCTGTTGGTGGAAGCAGACCATGATGCCTCCTGTTCACAGCCTGGGGCCCTTACACCAGATCATGTTTCTGCTTTTAGAAAGACTGGCTTCTGTGCATGTGCCCACAGCAGTCTGGTTTGTTTAGGAAGAACGAGTTTCTGTTTGATGCGTGATTGAGTACTCTTCACATGGCACCAGAGAGAGATGTTTTAATACTGAAATGTTGTGAGGTTCATTGCTTTAGTTTTGTTTTACATGTATTGCTGATGCATGCATAGTTCTTGTTTAAGTGGCCGGTATTGACTGCTTCAATATAGGCTGCAGGAACCACTGGCTGTGCAGTGCTACATTTCTTGTTTGTGAAACATGCCTTGGGGTTCAGCTTTCTTGACAATGCCTGTCTTACAGAAAGGCTCTCGAGCTATGGAGCTACTAGGAAGTTTTGACAGAGATTTTACAATTTGATAACGATACACAGTACTACATCGTCATGCCTGGCATTATCAGGTGGTCCAAACCAAGGGGAGTATTGTTTTGTGCTATCGAGCAGCTACGGAATGTACCGATTGCACCTAGCCTTGCAGTTGAACAATCCTGAATTTCTTCCCAAACGAGCTCCCGCTTTTGCCAGTCATAGTCTCTTTCACGGCCGGCACCATGGTAATAAATTTATCCTGTGCTCATTTCTGGCATTCTGCTACTTTTGAAGTTTGACCTCCTCGTCAAATGTGTTTAAATGCTGCAGAGTTCTGGTGTTATTCATACTTGTCCTGATTTTCTTATATTTTTTTTTTCATCTAGGTGTTGTGCACAATGACCTGCAAGTGTTCCTTGAAACAAACATGCCCAAGGCAACTAAGAAATGTCGCATCATCCTGGGGCTTGCAGACTCCAAGTTGGCAATGACGGTTCAGGAATGTCTGGGCCTCTCTTGCCAGCACACCGGAGTGGTGCCCGAGATCATACGAGGTGAATGTCTGCTCTTTCACTTAAAAACCCCTGGTCCCGGTTCGGACACGCGTGTCAAAAAATAAATTTTATGCGAAAAAAAAATATAAATTAGAGTTAGAGTAATATTGATGGCGCAAGACGTGATTTAGTCGGCAGTCACCTTTCCACTTGTTTTCTCTCGGCATTTCGAGCGCATGGAGGAAAGGTGGAGCGGCTTCGCCTTCACGACCGAGATGGTAATTTTGGAATGACCAGTGACGTCATGGACTTACGCGCAGAATTTCAAATATATCTCCCGCCATGAATATTGCTCTAAATTTTTTTTTTTTTTTTTCGAGTAATATTATTTTGTTGACAGTCCCAACCAGACTATTTAAAAAAAAATCTTTTTTTTTCTCTTGGCGGGCCCTTTAAAGGGCCCATGAAACGATTTTTGGGTTGGGATAAATCATTTTAGATTGGGATTTTACTAATAGCACATCGTTCAGTGGACCAAAAGAAAAAAGGTAGAAAGTCAAAAGCCTGACTTTCAGTGCGAAAATTTGAAAACAGCGCGGACTATTTCGTACCTCCTCCCCTTCGCAACCTCTCTGCCTTTTCACTGTGATACATCCGCGGTCCCAAAAGCGCGTTATCGGGTCCAAACTGACGTCACACGCAACCGGACCTCACTTATTCCCTTCATCCCTAAGCTGACATTGTGGTGGAAGCTACGCGCTTGCCGGACCAATCAGCCGCCTCCCTTTCATCACCTGACTTCATTCTCTGCAGCCACATTTGCCACGCTCACGTGGCAAGTGTGGCTGGCCCAACGAGCACGTAGCTTCAACAGCACTGTCAGCTTCGGAATGAACGGAGTGGGAAAAGCAACTTTTGTCTGAATTTTGAGCGACGGGCTAATCTTCTAGGGGGAGAATGGATGTGTCCGGATTACACAAACGAGAGTGCGAGCAAGAGGGGACTCCCCCTTTTCATCTTCTTTAACTGTTTGGTGGAATGCGCGATTTATGAGTTGAGGAGGAAAGCGAAACAGGAAAAAGTTGGAAAAGCGTTTCATGACCCCTTTAAAGGGTAATTTCGCTCAAAAGTCTAACCATGAGAAATGCTCGAGTTCGCTTCAGTCAGGAAAGGTAGGACAAGAGCTAAAAATATGACGTCAAAGGAATGCCGCAATTCCTACTAAAACCTTTGTCAAAAATGCAATCACCAGCTTTGCACCGGGCCGCCAGGGGGTTAGCTGTCGCTGAAGCAGCACTGAAAATGTGACGTCGTGTTCATATTGCTATATCTGTTCTTTTCCTGTGCTTTTCGCTGCTTTTTTCTCTGACGATTGTTGTGCCTTTTTGAGTTTCCTGCTTTTCTGTTATGTTCTAGCATTCATTGTGAACCCCTAGCATAGTTTTAATATATTTTTGTAAGTCATCTTGTGCAATTTACAGTGATAGAAGTGCTGCACCATTTGCACCAAATTGTGCTGTGAAGAAAAGTTTATTACATCTTGCGCCAAAGTGCCATTTTACAGTGAAGCTGTGTATGGCTAGGTTCTGACAGATCTTCTCTGGGGTCAGACTGAGCATAGACCAATAGTTTTGTACAGTTAATGCTGCAGACGCCGGTGCCGCACGCGCGCGCCTTCCCCGTATAAAAGGTGCGAATTAAATAACCCAAATAAAGCGTTGACGAATGCTAGTGCAAGACGCCATCTGTTTTAGACTTTTGCTTTAGAACGGTTACTGCTGCAGACGCCGGTGCCGCCCGCGTGCACCTTCCCCACGTGCGGCGTGTCTTTCCCCCCTGACTTCACGTGGGTCACACCTGTGTTGTACGTTCCGAAGAGAAGAGGAGCAGCGGGAGTATGAGGAGCATCGGTGCGCCCAGAAGCGAGAATGGGCACACCGCCAATGTGAAACCGCAGTTGCCGCTGCTCTTAGCCCAACATAGCAAATCTCACTAGAGCGCCAGCTTCGCTGGACTTTCCTCTTCACGGAATGGAAGGGCTCTTGGTTTTTTTTTTTGCTAAGAATCGCGCCACACGTGTGCCAAAATGGGCAAAGCAAAAAAAAAAAAAAAAAAAATCATTTACTGGTTGACTTTTGTATATAGAGAAGTAGGAGAGGAAGATGGTACAAATGTGTTTTTCAGAGCATCTCTACTCGCCATTAGTTTGTTTTATCTTGGGTCAAAGTACAGTCGAAGGCTCTTATACATACAAGCCAAACACATGCTAAAAGCGCAACTCACGGTACACTCGCTGCACTTGATTTGTTTAGTTGTCGAAAGAGCACGCACAGGAAGATGGACCAATGCCATGATGCGCTTTGGCGCTGGTTGGTCCCATTACCTCTTAGCAGCAGCTGCGCTTTATATTAAGGGACATATGCCTAAATTTTAAAGTTTTGTAAAAAAAATTTTTTTCTTCAAATTTTAGGTTTTTAGTTTTAGGAACTACTAATTACAACCCTTATGCTACATTTGGTAACTATACACCAAATAAAAATATTTTCAACACATTGTGAGGCAGTAACATGAGTTCAATCTTTGAATTCATTTTTCTGAGTTCCGCTTTTTGCTGCAAATTTCGTACGAAGGAATCTTTCGTTCGAAGGTAAAAGTATTCTAATACCACAGTCAAGATGTTTCTTAACTGAAGTTTACTGGGGAATGGGCCATCTACTTTATTTGTTTTAATTGGAAGTCCTTTTAAGAAGAAACTGTTTTCTAAAATGACATAGGACAGATATGCATCTCATATTTTGAACTAATGACTCTCCTCAAATATTACATTTGAGTTGTAAAAACTAGATAGCCTGAGGTCCCACATCCCCCACTTTATATTCAAGTAGTCAAAATGGTGCTTAATAGCTTCATTTGCATATCATAGATTTCTTAACGAAGAGTGACCCATCTTATACAGGTATGTTAAATTGTCCTAGAGAGCTGAAAGTTTGCACAGTACACTTACATCTGATGTTAAATCTCCCCTGCAAATTTCATTCCGATCACTTGTGTAGTTCAGAAGTTAAATATCTAGCCAGTGTCCCCCCTTTAGGTGAAACAAAGTTTCACCTTAATTTTGACTTAGGTTCGTTGATGCAGAGGCGGATTGATTGCTGACATCATCTAATTGTCCAGACTATGCCGGCGACGTGAGGAGCTAAAATTTGCGAGAAAACATTGAGAAGTTGTAGGGTAGGATGGCGGCTACTGTGATAAGACAGAATGAGGGTCTTGTACTCCTGATAAAATCACTTGATTATGATGCCAGTCGCATGCCTCCGTGGAGCGCCTGGGTTAGTGCGCTAGGCTCGGTGATTATGCTGAGTACTATTCCAAGTCTACTTTTTTTGTCTTGGTGGTAGGTTGATCAGGGTATCTAGCGACCAGGAATAGACCCTTTCCAGAATTCAGTGCCATCTGGTGACTCAAATGGCAGTTTAACTTTTACCATACTAATGGCGGCAATGAGCTTGTGGTCTGCAGTATTCTGTCGGGCACCGTCACTTTTGCAAGTCAACGATAAACGAGAATGTGCGCTTCACTGTCGAGTTCTTTTTAAATCTCTTTCAGTGTCGCTGGCGAAAAAGATGCAACCTGTCAGAATGAAGCACCAACTCACATAGGCGCCTTGATAAAGTTCTATACTTCAAGAGGCTTTTAAGCTGAGTGTGTGCTTTAACAGATCGACTGGGCCGAAGTTAGAAATGAATGCTTACGCAGCTCTTGCATCTAACTCCTGATTTACGTCGCACTAACGTCTAGAATGTATAGGCCTCGAGTCATCTGCTTCAGGGTGGCCAGATGCGGCCGAGCGAATAAGCAAATAGTTGTCTCCAACCAAGCCCAAAAAATGCGGCGTGACCTTCGTGAAGAAGCCCAAAACAAGCGGAAGTTCAATAAATGTACACATTCTTGAAAATAGTTTATTAATAATAAAATGAGAAAGAGAACTGGCTCAAATACGAAGGCGAACTCGCTCAAATACGAAGTCAGCGTGCTATGCCACTATCCACCGGATAGTGGCATGGTACGCTGAGTAACATTGCCAGCTTGAGCTCCAGTTCTGGTATCGTTCTTGGAGGTGACGACTTGGTGAAGCCCATGGTAGACAAACGTGCGCTGGAAAGTGGCAGAGAGTTCCTGACGTGTTTTTTGTTGCCATGTGCTGAACGAGGTCGGCATGATGAGCGCGGATCTCGCACTTGCACGCTGCTTTTTTATCGTCTCTGGTGACTAGTCGCAGCCAGTCCTTAAGCGGTGTTTCCTTTTCCCACTCTTTACAATATATTTTGCTATACTTCGACCACTTCGAAGTCATTTTGCGCAAAATACAATGGCAACTAGACACGATGACCGGCAAGGCGCCAAAACATTTGTGAATGGATAGTAATTGTTTTGTACTTTGTGACGGACGATAGCTTGCGTCACCTAACCGCGGCGCCAAACTGCTGTTTTTCGTGTTTTTGATGACAAACGTTGTCAATGAGCATGACGAGCAATAAAATAACAGTATTTGTGGGAAAAATGTGAATAAGCCCAAAAAACGAGACAAGCGACTGGAAAAATCTACCAGCGACTCGGTGAAAAAAGAAGCCCAAATCCGCTTATAATAAGCGGAACTGGCCACCCTGATCTGTTTAGGAGCACCTTTAACTTCTTCCTTCATCAGTAAACAAAAGGCCACCATTAGTATAGCACATATGCCATTTTCCAGATGATGATAGTAATAGAAGTGGCCAGACTGAATTCCGGAAAGGGTCTATTGTCGGGGAAATTTTGATTACTGGGAAAAATCGGATATTGTCAAAAAGCGAGCCCAGTCAGAGAAAATGAGCCGGAAAAACTTTAGAGTGCCCTGAGCAAAGACTTGAAAACTTTGGGGCAGAAAAATGGGCAGTAAATTCTGCTTAGAGCGAAACGCGAGCTCCGCTCACTCAATGTAGAGTGTGCTATCCGATGCAAAGGGAACAGCCAACACATCCACTCCAAGCCATGCGTCTGATAGGATTGGATGAAGGGCG